TTTATGGAACAAAACAACTGTTACATTTCATCCCAAAAAAAACACTTTAATCAGCGTACCCGCCACCAACTTGTTACATCTCGCGCCATGTTAAACCAATTTCCCACTGTTTTCTTAAAGCGCATAGGGGGCTTGCGTGAAAATAGGGATTTTGGCGCAACACGGCGCGGGATACAACAGGTTATTGGTGGGTACGCTGACTTATGTGGGTCTCATTGGGGTGTTTTGCGATGCGCTGTAACAGGGAATTGGGTTGCGAATGAAAAAAATTTGAGTTCTTTTTACCTGCAACTTTATAAATTTATGGTTGCGCTAAGGATGGGTTTGAAAATTTACCTCGGCTTGCTGAAAATAATTGTATTCCAATAATAATAAAAATTTTCACTATTTTTTTTATTTTTATTTTTAATTGATATTAAAATAATTTTTAAAAATATTCCGGAATATTATTTGTGCATTATTTTTTCCCCTTTTAACCGATACACGAGATGATTTGGCCCGAATATAGGGATGTTTCGGCTTTTTGTAATTTTTCTTTGTTGTTTGTCGATCAACTCATTTCATGGGAATAATATCCTTTGATATAAGTCCGAGGGGCTTGGATAAAATGACTATTTGGAATTAATAAAATTTTTGGCAGCCGCATGATTGGTACATGATTTGGAATGGGCTTAAATTAATCTTCGTGTGCCTTTCAAAATTGCCAATGTCAATATATAATTGACTATGTTGGAACTTATAGTGTTTGTATAACGAATGAAGCGTCCGTTTATATCTGGTATTATATTTTAGAAGTATATCATTATTTCTTTGCGCTCAGAAATGATCCCCGGTATGTGGACGACTTAAACTTCCGAGGTGAAGCCGCATTCAGGGAGAATAATCACCCTCAGGTTTTGCAGAAAAGAACCTGAGGATTAAAGATTCTTTATGATGGTGGTGTTGCCAAGATAATTACTGCATCAGCTGTAAAAGTGATAGGTTGATAGCCTATATTCAGGGTGAAACGAATCGAAGTTTTTGCCCATTTGACAGCTTAATTGTGCCTGATTTTACTTTCAAGGACGGGGGGGGGTATAGGTTTTTAGATTATTCCATTGGAACTGAGAGGTTCCCACAAGCGGATAGACGGATTGATGAATTATTGAGCTAAAAGGCTATTTTATTCCGACAAGCTGTTTGGATTTTATTTTTAAACCCATTTTTTTTTCCCTTGCGTGTGCCAGGTCGCCCCCTCTCATGAATTATCGACCATCCTGTCGTGTGTGTGGGGTATCTTTGATGCTAACATTTGTAACTTTAAAAAGGAACATTAATGTAAGGGGTGCTCCTTGCTTGCAGTTTTCATATGCACCAGAGGGCTTTTACTACTGTATGTGCTCGCCTCTGACGAAATAATGATTGAAGACGAAGGGGGGGTGTGGCTTGAAGGAAACCCACCACTGTCTGCACTAATGCGCGCGCCAAAGGGGTTTAAGGCAAGACTCCATAGCAACTACAAACCATTGGATAACTTTAGGCTAGGAAAACATTAAGCTTTATCAGAGCCTCAATCTCATTGTTCGATTAAAATTACCGAAACAGTGGTTTCAAACGTTTATTAGTAGTGGCAGAACTATTCCACCACAACCTATTCCTGACGTTACCAGGATGCCCCATACTCTTTATAGAAGAAGCATATCTTGTCCAGGAGTTATTGCCATTCAGGCTACTCTTAAGGTAAAAATTTGGGTACGTGCAGAAGATATGGCCTAAGGGCATGTGTGTATGCGATCTGTTGGGCTTCTGCATTTATGAGCTGCATTGTTAAATTTGCATTTTGCCTTGACTTCGTAGCATACAATACCGATAAAGTATGAAAAATATATTAACTGAAATTGTTTGTACTTCTTTCAGAGTTTCAACTTGACAGACAACGATGGGGGTAACGGTGGTTCTGTGGGTCGCATACTTTTGTGATTCGAGCTTTTAGATACCCCCGGGATTGTGCGATATCACAAAGCAATTACTCCTATAAAGTAACTTGATAATGCTTATTTGTAATGGATTGTCTTTGTGGAACATAAAGGTTGTTCTTTAATGTGTTAATTCAAACATTCGTAGAAGCATAACTGTGAGCATCTTCAGGCACAAAACTTCAGTGATCGTGAGGAGGCAAAGAGATGAACAGTTACGATCCCATTACCATGTATGGTATCCTGGGGGCACTCAGTTCCATTAAGCTAAGCTTTGGCCAGTTATTAAAGCGTTCATTTCTTCTTATTTTTTTCAAATGGCCTGACGAGGACGGGCCTTTTTGAATTTTATTAGGGTTTGTTGTCCGTGTTTATGGGAAACCTGAAAGTACCTGTAAAATTCGTTTTTCACCTAAGTTAGGCTTCGGGAGAATGGCTTCGACAAGCGGACCTAGTGTGGAGTTCCATACAGGAGGCCTAGGATCACTCTTTTTTACAAATCTTATTCAGTATATTTTATCACCAGGCTTTACGGAGTTGCGTGAATCAGGATTATTGCCTGAAATATCTTTACTCTGGAAAGCATCATGACGCACAGTTTAAGAAATGATTCATCCGAAAAAAAAATCAAAAGTTGACTTCAAGTTATCACAAAATATCGAAGATATTTTAAAATATTATATAGACTATTGTACAATGTATTTTAGCCTTTTCTTGAGCAGAGTATTACTTATCTTTGAAGCTAGATACAAAAGCAAGGGCGAAAGATCGGAGTTATTCCAAAGTATTGCCTCCGCAGTGGGTGTGGTCCATTATATGCGTTGATGACTTTCTATCGATAAATGTGCATTAAAATCGAAAAACAGGTAAGATCTATCATTATAATTTAAACTGATAATAACGCATCGAAGATGTTTTGATCAAAGAGAAAAGACAAGCCAGAGTCGCGTATAATCTTCGATAGGAATCACTTATAGCTCTGTTTTTCTCAGAAAATTCAAAAAGAAGCCACATGCCCGGTGTTCACCCTGTTGCATTGGCCCATCTAAAGTTTTTTCTTCATTGTGCTGAAATATTTCATCCAATGATAGTGTGGTATCAGGTGTTCCCTCCACGTAGTCTGCTATCGCATTCAAGACACCTGATTTATCTGGGGCATTTCGGATGTCTTGATCTGCATAAATAGAGAGAAAAAACTGAACCTTGGCAAGTATTCTTTCCAACTCATCCTTTAAGTTCGACATCATGTTTTTATTAACTTTTCTTCTCTTTAGGCCTAGCTTTTAGCATATGTGTTATCCCCTTTTTTAATTAGTACACGAGAAACTGGCAGTGGTAATGGTAGCATGGGATAAAAAGGAAAAGGGAACATAAGAATAATTTTCTAAAAGGTGGATTCACCTACAGATAATATTCATTGACCATATTCTTTTCAATAGTATCATTATCTCTTATTCATTGAATATTATTTACACAAGATGACACTAAATTGTATACTTTTACTGCATGATTTCATTAAAGAATACTTATTTAGATCGAAATCGTCAAAGAACAGAGATGCCACACACTTTCACTTGCACAGCTACAGAGAAAATTGAGAAGTCACCTGTAAGCGATTCTTAAGGCTTATTATTTCATCTTCTACTATGTCACTAAGATTTATGATTGATTTTAATATGATAATGCCTATAATCTAGAACCGATACGCGTGGATTGTAGTTGCAGTTTGGCATTGGCTTCTTCTTCAAACATACAATTCATATAGTGCTGTTTAAATGGTGGAATGGGCTCTTGTCTGCGTGACGGCAGGACCGTTCCGAGAATCTGTTGCCTCGTAACCGTGATTGGGTTCATGGTTTCTATAAAGTGATCGCACTTCACGTAGTTTAGATCTCTCCAGTGATCCAGTTCATTTCTTACATTTCCGTCTGGTGGAACCGAGACAACGGCTCGAAGAACCGGGAGGATGTCCAGTAGAGCATGATCTTTTTCCATCCTTGCTATTTCTTTCATTCCTGTTTTTAGAAATTTGAGCATCGTTTCATCCAAATTCCCTATATTGATCGACGCTTCCTTAGTTTGGCTTAGTGCATACATATAGTTTTGCACAATTGAGTCATTGACTTCGAAAGGGGGTACTTTGATAGCATTTCTTGGTGTCAGTGGGAAACTTCTCACGTTATCATCCACTATCACAACGTTATTGATTGGTCTCCCGAGTATGGGAAGATACTTCATATAGCCGTGATCTTCTAATGTTTGGGTGCGTGATAGTGAGTAAAAGTTTGCATGAACCGTTTTATCTTCGTCAGATTTATTCATATTTAACACTCTTTTATAATTATAAAAAGATGGCGATAATTGCAGCACTTGCGTTTCTAATGCGTCTATAACAGCGCTACAGTAAGATGCGGTGCCGGCTGTCCAAAAGACTACTTCGAAGAGTTCATTAACTTCTAGAAGAAATTCCTTCAGATGTGGTCGAAGAAGGATGTGGTAGTCAACTAGTTTTGCATGATTCACCCCCTCAGTGCTTGAGTGGAGCTTGTGGTGAGCCATTCCAAAGGTGTGAATTAGCGTTTCATCGATGTCTAATACTAGCGTGTGCTTGCCTTTATTTCTTGGAAAGCATGGGGGAAGTGGTGTAGGCCATAAGGGGGTGAATTCCGAACGCAATCCTGTAGCAATAAGGGGCCCAAGCTGCTGCTGTTGCTGCTGTGTTCCGGTTTCCGCTGCTTTTGATAAGGAACGACGGGCCGTCTGAAGCATCAATTTGTTTGAATGTTCGGATACCTTTTAAAACAAAGCACGCTTTAGAGAAGTATGTGGGAGAATATATATATTAAGGAATGACACCGCACAAGGAAAGATGTTTCATATGTGTTTGTACACACATTAATAAATGCCTGGTGATATGAGCATATAGCAGTACTACACACTATAATTTTTGAAGAAGGGAGACACAGCTGCGCAAGTAAAAATTCTGTTAATAGAAGTGATTTATGCTTCTGTGATTAATGATTTTTTTGAAACGTATTATAGTAAATAATACTCTCCGCTTTTACCTCTAATAATGCATTGGATGATCACTGAAATCTTTCTCAAAATAATCCACACGAATACATGGGCTGATACCACCTTTTCCATTGTGTCACGAAGCAGATGGTTTGCGTGCCATGTATTATTTAGGGCCATGCATGTACCGTTTAGAAAAGGTATTTCACTAAAAAGAGTTTCATTGCCTAGAGTTCCAAATACAGTATGTATATATACGTGTACCGCTTGGGAGGGGTATCCTTGGGTTCATTTTGTGCCAATCCCCTTTGACTAAGAACTCAATGTATGGATATGGTTTCCATGTAGAGGATTCTCACGTCACTGTTAGATAGTGTTTCAAAGGAACTTCACATTCGATCTTCATACAACATTCTTCCTGTCATTTGATTACAATTATAAACAACCCACACAAAAGCATACTTGTTGATATCTTTCTTTACCCTCCTCTTTCCTAACCACACACAAATTGAGAACAATATATGTGGTTCATGTCTTCGATACAACAGTTTACAGAAGGGAGATGAAGGGTATGTATTCTACGCGTTGGTGTTGTTTCATGACGGTCCTACTGACATTATTGCTACGCTTTGAGTCTCTTATCGTTTTTGACGCTACTAGACCTCCTATTTACGAAAATACTTTTCACTGAATCAATAAACTTTATCAAATGAACCGTTTTATCTAAATGTGTAGGTAAAAGTAATTCTGACTTCTAGTCGGTTTCCTTGAGTCTGATGTTGTCATATAGCATATCTAAGCTTTTTCATGAATCATACGCCGACGTAACCCACTTTTACGGGGGGATAGGTTGCTCTTTGCGTTATTTCTTTTTTCCTTGCTTAACTTTTTGAGAAAACTCTGGTAATCGACAACTTCACCATATTTACTTTTTTAATTTCAAGGCTAACATCAGAAATCATATTAGCACAGAATATAGACTAGTAAAAATGGCCATACACAGAGCAACAGGCGTGAGTATCGAGTAGCGTGTGGAATCACTCAGAGTTCTGCCTTTCGAAAGAATTGTATTTCACTAGATAAGGAATGTTCACACACCTGTGAGTGACATTGATACCTCATTTCACAGAGATATATCATTCAAGTCGAGGAGAAGAACTATTTTCGGGTGAATTTAATCAACAAAAAGAAAGGGAAGCATTCCATTTTAAGTAATCGTTTGTGCAAAAAGGTGATACACAGCATTACAGTTTTACCTAATAGTGAAGAGTTCAGAAAAGACGAAAGGATCCAAAAATTGATAGTAATGGTTGTTATAGTAACGCAAAAAACGATACTAGTGTGATGTTGGTCTATAGAACAAATGGCAGTAAAAGAACTGCATCCAGTGAGAAGTCACAGACCATCAAAGAGTGAGTAAACTCCGCTAAGCTACGTGTGTCCAGATCTAGGTGGAGGGGCTGAAGATAAGTACTCAAGTTTAAAGCACCTCCTGCGAAAGCGTGAGACCCAAGCGAAACTCTCCCGAGTACTGTTTTTCCATTACCAGCTGCTGAAAGCAGCTTGACGTATTTAATGGGCGCTCCGCCATGCAGGTCAGGCGTACGCGTACCTCCCTCGGGCGCCTCTCCCGCTCCTTTTGGAAACACCGGGACACGCACGAAGACCACAACGAGAGTGCCACGGGGTGCGGCGCCAGGCTCAGCCCCCCCGCCGCGTATGGCTCCCCTGCCGGGGCGCTCAGCCCTTTCCCCAGCTGGGAGCCTCGTCCCAACACCCCCTCCACGGCGAGCGCGGCGCAGAGGGCGGTCTCGACCTCGGCCACCCCGCGCAGGGCCCGCGCGTGGGCTTCGGACCCCGCACGGGACGACATCCCGCCGTCGCGGAGCCCCG